ACCCATAAAAAAAAACTGCGGTTGCCAATCCGTCTGCCAAGCGGGGCAACTACTGGCAAACCGGGGCAACAACTTATGGGGAGGCTAAGTTCAACAGTGGACGGTTAACAGTTGATACAACAAAACTTTATACTTATATATTTTACTTATTTATTTTCTTCAAACAATAAGTTTTATTATAAACATTACGACCACTCTTTGGAATTAACTTCCAGCAGCAGTTATTCCGAACCGATACGACAACAAAACCTTCAAGAAAAGAGCATATTCCTTTTTAAAAGGCCGGCAGTATAAGTGCAATGCCGTTGATGTTGTGGGTGATCATGGGCGGCGGTAGTCACTTACCATCGGATTAGCCGCATGCTCGTTTGCCCTCTGTGTTGTAAACAAAACAAGCAAATATCACGCAGTCAGGCTCGTGCTTGCATCACACTCACTCATGACTAAGACTCACGAATTGATTCCGAAACTAATAGAGCTTTTTCGTTGTAATTACACGTAAGTTAAACCGGTATAGTTATTATATTAAAATATAAGCAAATAGATAAATAATTTACAATCTAATTTATTCGAGAATATATAAAATGGATAATTTTATTATTTATATATAGTAAAAGTTCTTTATTCACGGTGTATCCGATCCGTAAATATGCCGCGAATACAGAAACCGTGAATATAGAAAGCTGAACCACTTATACAGCGGCGTTAGCATTTGACAACATACTTCAGGCGTAGTTGTAATAAAGTCTGTTTTACTTTCTTATTAGTCCATTTGCCGACGCGTTTACAAAGGATACATAATCCTTTTTAATAATATGTAATCGGTAAATCCGCGAATATAGAACTCTTCAGCTGCGAATATAGGAATTGGGTCGCAATTTTTTAATCCACGAATAGTGAAAACGCAAATAAAAGAAGCGTAAATAAAGAGCTTTTACTGTATTTAACTCTTTATTGCACTAAAAACATAAAAATATACATTGGCAATAAGAGAATTCAAGTGAAATACAATAGCATAAAGTATAGATTAAAATTATATTACTTATAAAAACTCTTGACTGACGGATGCATTACCGCACAGCCGAGAAACTATTTAAGTTTTTTTTTTTTATTTATGGGTGAAAATGGTATGGTAACCTCGTCTGCGCTAACAGGATACGCTGGCGGAGCACCAGTGAAGGGTGATAGATGAGAATGGAAACAAGCCAGTTAGCGCATCATGATGAATTCGTCAGGAATTAACCATGATAGTTTCCAGGGGGAACAGCGAGGAGGTCGACCTGGTTGGGTATATTGCTAGCAATGGGATTTTTAGTCTCCGTTATTAACAATCCCTTCCCCCCCCCCAAAAACTACTTAAGTTAGAATTACCAAATTTTGACAGACTTTACACGAAATTCGACCTTTAACGGTGTATATATGGATATGTACTTTGTGTTTCCTGGAAGAGAACTCTATCAGAGTTATGCTCGCCTTTGTATATTTGATTACCTCTGTCATATTCTTGTAACTTGTATACAATAAAGAATTAAATGAATAAATAAACCCACGTCAGTGGGGGAAAGGGATTGTTAGTAATGGAGACTGAGAATCCCATTGCTAGCAATATACCCAACCAGGTCGACCTCCTCGCGGTTCCCCCTGGAAACTATCATGGTTAATTCCTGATGAATTCATCGTGATGGGCTAACTGGCCTGTTTTTATTCTCATCTATCACCCTTCACTGGTGCTCCGCCAGCGTATCCCGTTAGCGCAGGCGGGGTTACCATACCATTTTCACCCATCAAAAAAAAACCCTCTTCAGTTATACACTCTTGACAGAATGTTCGTAGTTTTTACGATGATAGTGGATTGTCAAAAAGTCTCCTTTTCGCGATTTAGGTCCTCGCAATATGTCTCCATCTACTTCTGCTCACAGCCGAGCGTGAGCATTCCACAATAGACAGCTGTGTGGCCGTTTTGATGAGGTCAGTCCATCGCGTTGGTGATCTACCCCGAGAACGTTTGCCTTGTACCGCTCCTTGGACAATTAGACGTTCCATACAGTTTTCATTCCGGATGATATGGCCGAAGTATTTGAGAATTCGTATTTGAAAAGTTGACGATGATGTCTCTCGGATTTTCAGTTCGTTTTTAACTGATAGTTACTTAAAATTTAGCATAAATACTAATATATCAAACATATATGAGGCTTTGTACAAAAGTCGTTTGCTTGGGCACCTCTGTACCATTCGTGTTTCAACCCTAAAGCAGTTGTATTTGCATGGCTGTGTTTCGGTTTGAAGAGTGGGATATGGCGTGAATTTACTGGGTACAGAGGAATAACACCTGAGTCCTCAGGAATGGCAACGCATGGGGGGTATCATGGGCGATACAGTATATTCTGTTATGTCCATGGTACTGCTCATATCTATAGGTGACGGTTACCACTTTCCATCGGGTGGGCCGTCAGCTTGTTTGTCATCCTAAGTTGTATAAAATATATATATATATATATATGTAGGTACAGCGAACTCGTCCTACCTGACAAGCGGACGGATGGCGCGGTAGAATGTTGTAACATGGGTGACGTCACTCGCGCCCGTTCTTGGAAGGTCTGAGACCAGTCCGCGGTCGTAGAACTACGAAACGACGATGTGGCATATTCAAGACTAACTTTTCCCCGCGACTTCACCCGTGTGACTGGGATATATCCATTGACTGGGATAGAAGTAGTTCATGTCCTTTTCAATCCCATAAAGTATGTGTAGATAGACAGATATATAATTTATTTGCATTACTTACAGCACACAAATTATAAAAGACACAGATATACATAAAAAGCGAGTTAAAGAGAAATGATTAAAATAAAATACATAAAGCCAAGTACAATTTTTCCTTTTATGAGTGTGCCATAGCAATACAAAATGGTCACAACTCAGTTTATTGCTTCGCCCTCAAAAGGGCAAAGCACTGATATTTTAAATTTATGTATACTAAATTTCATAGTGATTTTTTTTTTATTGATGATAATATAATGTAAACTCCGGCTGCGCTACGGTATACATAGTACCATGGACATAACAGAGTATACTGTTTCGCCCATGATACCCCCCATGCGTTGCCATTCCTGAGGACTCAGGTGTTATTCCTCTGTACCCAGTAAATTCACTGTCATATCCCACCCTTCAAACCGAAACACAGCCATGCAAACACAACTGCTTTACGGTTGAAACACGAATAGGACAGAGGTGGCCAAGCAATCGACTTTTGTACGAAGTCTCCCACTGGTAAAAGTTCCAGGATTAGGAGGATTATGTCCAGCAGTGGACAGTCGTGTGCTCACTGTAATGCCACATCCATTTTTATACTTATATCATAGTTGTATGTTCGACGACCACGTTACGTTCGGTCATTTGTATTTTTAGGACGAATGTGTTGGTTCGAATCGTTGTACCCAAACAGCGTTCGTAGTTCTTGTCTTAGCGTATTTAACTTGTGTAGTAACAGCGTGAATTAGTACATAAAATACCCTATGTACTAAGTTAGAAATACCTTATCTATATAGCAAATTTCATTCAAATCGATTAAGTAGTTTTTCTTGAAAGATTAATTTTAATTTAATTAATAAAATTTAATATTTCTTTATTACACATTACAAAGATCCATTTTTGTTAGTAACAATTGATTTAAACTATGTTAGTAGAAAAAAATACAAAATTCATTTTAGACCCCCTATAATAATTTTGACCCACAGTGAGAGGATCGGGCTATCGTATTTATTACACAATGTCCACAGAATGCTGTCACTGCTGACACGCAGTCCATCCATCGATTGATTTTTACAAATTTTCGCATTTATTGAAATGAAATGAAACTAAATGAAACGAAACGAAACAAAATGAAATGAAATGAAATGAAATGAAATTTATTGCGATGAATGTGGTAAATTTAGGTAATATTATACATTTTGTGTAACCTTAACATTCAGCCAGCTTGGCATGCAACATTTTTATATGTATCATACTAACTATAGGATACACTGGTGTCCGCCAGCGTATACCGATAGTGTAAACAAGGCTACTATTCCATGTTCATCCATTAAAAAAAAATCCACGGTAGACAACCAAGAAATCAGGTCAGTTAGTCCATTGTGACAAATTCAACAATAATCAACCAAGATGAATTCTAGAAGGAATCGCGTAGTGGTCGACATAATAGCATATATTTTTAGCAATGGCACTGTTAGACCATTACTAACAATCCCTTTCCCCCAGACACCGTAGGTATCACAGTGTATGGGATATGGCAGTAAATTTACAGGCTACAGAGGAATAACACCTGAGTCCTCAGGAATGGCAACGCACGGGGGGTATCATGGGCGAAACAGTATACTTTTTTATGTCCATGGTACTGCTCATGTCTATAGGCGATGGTTACCATCAGGTGGGTCATCAGTTTGTTTGCCATTCTAAGTGATCATGGGCGGCGGTAGTCACTTACCATCAGGTGAGCCGCAAGCTCGTTTGCCCCGTGTTGTAAAAAAAAAAGTTGCGAATAAAAGTCTATCATCAGACGGGCCATATGCTTGTTTGTCACTTTAAGCATATAAAAAAGTTGAATTAGAACATTATTTTTGATGTCGGTTAAAAGTCAAGGATTATATTCTTTGTATCTTGACCTTAGACCTTCCTTGAAGTTAGTTCATTAGAAACCTGAAACCGGTTTATATATCGCGTGAAACCTTGGCATTGACTTGATATTTACTGCTGTACTAAGCTATATCTGAGACATTTTATATGTTATACTTGTACATAGTGATTTATAAAATTTATAATTTGTTGTACTTGGATCAAAACAAATGTTACAGCGCCATCTATTATGTAACGAATGAAATTTACACGAGTCCTCTGTCGAGGAGTAGAAAAAATGTATCACTCAAGTGTAACTAGTTTATGAAATTTTGCGCATACAAAATAACAGATGTCGCTGAAAAGTTTTACGGACTGCGCATGTCAAAAATACAGTAAATGTCATTCACACCACACATCATTTTATTTTGTGATATCGTAAAAACGAGCTGAATTTTGTGCAAAATATCAGGAGGTGGTGTTCTCGGGCATGTGTCCATCCTCCTCGCGGACCATTACGACAAATAAAATATACAAGAGGATGTATTGAACGGGTGGCGCGCGAAGATCGTGGTAGATGGTGGCCGTAAAAAATATTATCTTTTTCTCAAATTTCTCTCAGTTTTCCTCCTTATGTTTCTCGTGAGGAAACTCTCTTGTTTCCTCCACATTCCTGACGTTAGGTGACTGTGCTCCTGTGAACGCGCAAGTGTTTTGTGTAACGTTTTCTATTTTTGACTGCATTTGGTTCTAATTATAACGTGTATTAGTGTTTTGATGAATTGCCTCCGAGAGAACATATTCAAATTGCGTAAGTATTTTAATTGTTTAATTTTCAAAATCTTAAATTATATAGTTGCTCATATGTAGGATTCGATATTTAAGATAAGACAAAGAGAAAACTAAATGGGTGCGTTCTTATGCTGCTTACTTCTAATTAAAATTACATACTTTATCATGACAAAATGTGGAAAATTATTTGTTGTATTACTCTGTGTTTAGTTAGTAATTAATAATAATTATATATTATTTATTTTTAACGTTCACTGTACCCTACATTTTATGGATTTAAACTAATTTAACAAAGAGAACAACAATTTATATCCTATGCATCACTATTTTTCAAAGGAATTTAAAAAAAAATGACATTGAAAAAAATATTTTTCTTTTGTGTTTTTTAAAGGAATTTAAAAGTTTTCAATGTCAGTAGTAATAATAAAAATTAGGTTCCAATATCTGTCTAAAATGTTAATGGGGATGTTGTAATATTATATTAACAATACTAATTCGGTTTAAATTTTTTTTTTAATGATATTTATCTGTCATTTAGTCACTTAACAAATTCTAACTAAAGTTTCTCACTTTTATAGATAGTTCTTTAGGTGGTATATATTTTTGACAAATGTCAAAATAGTAATCTTACCTTTGCTGTTGGTATTCACTAGGGTAGCAGCAGTGAGGGATGATAGGTGAGGATGAAGTCAACTAAGTTGGACAACACATGAATATATTTACCTAGATGTGACAAATTCACCAGAAGTATGAGAGGGGAAGGATTATTAGTAATTGGGGCCAGTAGGCATATTACTAGTATCATATTATATCTACACTTTCCCTCACTCACCGTCTTGGTAACAATTGCAGTCAAATCATAGTAAATTCATCAAAATTGGCCAACTGACCTGCTTTCATCCTCATTTATCATCTCCCACTGGTGCCCCACTAGTTAATGAAGGTGAGATCTCCCACTGGTGCCCCACTAGTTAATGAAGGTGAGATCTCCCACTGGTGCCCCACCAGTGAATACCGCTAACAAAGGCAGATTCGTAGTTCCATTTTATGAACTATAAGTTACCATTTAATTTAATTTAAAAAAAAGTAATTCAACTGATTTAAACCCACATTTCTCTGCTATCTGTTTCGATTATATTCCTAGTTTCACTATTCTAAAATGCTATTGTTAAAGCTTAGAAAATGCGTCGCATAGTCTGCTACAGGTCCTAGTTGAAAACCAGTGTTTTGTCCAATAGGGTAAGACTAATAAAAAGGAATGTTGCATTGGTTTGGTCATTTGGAGAGGATGGATGAAAGAAGAATTACAAAAGAGATTTATCGAGCAAGAATGAATGGAGATGTCGGTAGGGGCCGCCCTAGACGGATGTATGTCAACCAAATAGGCGACGTGCTGAAGAAGGGCCAAATTAAAAGTACCCGTAACTGGTGAGCGTGTATGAAAAGATTGATGAATGTGGAGGAAGCGAAAGAGGTTTGTTTGAATCGAAGCATTTGGCGTTCCGTTGTTTCTGCCTACCCTAATGGGAGACAGGCGTGACAAATATGTATGTATGTATGGTAAGACTACACACTGAGTTGTGTTTTTTTTTGTGTTGCTACAGTATGTATTGAGTATAATTTTTTTATACCACAAAGGTGGTAAATAAGCATACAGCCCGTCTGATGTTAAAGGGTCACTGTAGCCTATGGATGCTTGTAACACTAAGGGTGTCATACATACATGCATGTTGCTGACCTTGAAGAAACATTTACAATATTGTTATGAAAAGTATAATTTCTTTGTAAGCATTTATATGTGTATGCTTGGAGCTTTTAAATAAATATTTATTTGCTTTAGTTAATTGTTTTAAACATTTTCAAATATCTTTCTGTTATTATTCTTAATAATATAAGTTTATTTATTTATTATTTTTGAGGGCATCTTACAGCTGTAATAAGTTAGTAATTAATTATATTATTAATATAATGGCGAAGCAATAAACTGAGTTGTGACCATTTTGTGTTACTATGGCACAGGCGTGAAGGAAGGGAAAGAAAGGAGATTGTTAGTTTATATATTTTGTTTTTTTTTTTTATTTGTGCTTTTTTATTTTCATTCTTTTATCTCTTTTACTGTGTATTATGTGTATGTTTGTATTGTAATTTGTGTGCTGTAAGTAATGTAAATACATTATCTATCTATCTATCTATATATGACAACAATAAACTAATTATAAGCTACCACATATAGTTAACAAAAATTGAATTAGTTACAGTCTAAATCACTAAATAGTATAAAACGAAGTCGCTTCCGGCTTTCTGTCCATATGTATACTTAGATCTTTAAAACTACACCACGGATTTTAATGTGGTTTTTTTTTTTTAATAGATAGAGTGATTCAAGAGGAAGGTTTATATGTATAATGGGTGTTATGAAAGCGACTGAGCAGGTGAGGGGCAGTAGCGTCCCTCTTAAAACATCTCCAAAGCCTAACTGCGGTTGCCAATCCACCTGCCAAGTGTGGCAATTACTGGCAAAACCACGTTAGTAATGCGGATTACCACTCTCATTGACTACAATATACTAGCAGGTCGACCTCCCCGTGGTCCCCCCTGGAAACCATCGTGGACTCACTAGTAAAGATATCTATACTTATAATAAATCTGTAGAGAGGTCAATTCTGTACATGAAATATATTTCCAAAATAACTATCAGCGGGTGATTAGTGATCGATACTGATGCCAAAAATGCAATCAGTGAAATTTTTGTCTGTCTATCTGTCTGTATGTTCGTTATACATAGAAATAAAAACTACTCAACGGATTTTAACGAAGCTTGGTACAATTATTCTTCATACTCCTGGGCAGGTTATAGTATACTTTTCATCACGCTACGATCAATAGGAGCAGAGCAGTGAAGGGAAATGTCAAAATGTCCACCCGTGCGACGCCGGGACGGGCCGCTAGTTAGAAATATTTTTTTTTATTATTTCCATTACAATATGTGCCAATAAATATTATTTAATATATTTAATTCCATTTTAATGTTTATTAAACACAAAACATGCTGTGGTTGCCTATAAATGTAAGAACAGACTTTTTTTTTATTTATTGAAAATGGTATGGTAACCCCGCCTGCGCTAACGGGATACGCTGGCGGAGCACCAGTGAAGGGTGATTGATGAGAATGAAAACAGGCCAGTTAGCCCATCGTGATGAATTCATCAGGAATTAACCATGATAGTTTCCAGGGAGAACCGCGAGGTCGACCTGGTTGGGTATATTGCTAGCAATGGGATTCTCAGTCTCCATTACTAACAATTTCTTTCCCCCCAATGTAAGAACAGTTAGATCTAATCTACCAGTGTATTGTATTGAAATGTTTAGCTGTATCTTATGTGGGTGATGCTGTAAATCAATCTATACTTCACTACATAGTATAAAACAAAGTCACTGTCGCTGTCTGTCCGTCTTTATGTATGCTTAAATCTTTAAAACTACGCAACGGATTTTGAAGCGGTTTTTTTTAATAGATAGAGTGATTCAAGAGGAAGGTTTATATGTATAATACATGCATAATATTGTAGAGAAACACTGATATATTTAGAGGTTTCTAATGTGATGTGATGTAATGTGTACCCGTGCGAAGCCGGGGCGGGTCGCTAGTAATATTATAAAGGTGAAGAGTTTGTTTGTTTGTACGCACTAATCTCAGTAACTACTGGTCCGAATTGAAAAATTCTTTCTGTGTTGGATAGTCCATTTATCGTGGAAGGTTTTAGAATATGTAACATCACGCTGCGACCAATAGGAGCGTAGCATCAGTGAAAAATGTTGCAAAAAAGCTGGCTGAATGTTAAGGTTATACAAAATATATATATTACCTAAACTTACCACATTCATCAGCAATAAATTTCATTTCATTTTATTTCATTTCATTTCATATCATTTCATTTCATTTCGTTTCATTTCATTCATTTCATTTCAAAGACGAGGGATTTTATTCATATTTGAGGGCCTCCGTTACGTGCGTTGCGTAAACAGTTCAAGTTACCCAAAAATATGTATGAAAGAATTATGTACTCCTCTTTAAATGATCTATACATAGGCTATATAGTATTGTCGAAAATTCTATCTGCCCGTGCGAAGCCGGGCTGCGTTACTAGTAAATAAATAAATATGTAAAACTTCCAAATTTCAAATCGATAATAGTTGCTTAGGTTTAACGCTGACGGACGGACAGACAAAGTCGCGTCATAACTTCCCTTTGTAGCTTTTTTGGTATAGTGCCCTAAAAATGGAGTACACAAAATTGTCGCCATTACTGCGTCATTTATTATGGATTCCATGGAATTCCATAGCATTCAAGATTAGAACACAATAATCGTGATAAATTACTGTGATAAGGTGAAAGGTCGCGCGGTTCACGGCGATGACTCACAGTGGCAGGGCAGGTGACACAGAGTAGAGAATACCAAGACATCAAGCACTTTTAATAAGCCAGCAAACTTTTTTTTTTTTAAATATTTTAAGAGCTTTTACCTTCTTCAGGTATATCAGTCCTATTGTACCCTGAACTGATTTCTCCAACAAAACTTTATCTACCTTCCCTAGACGCGGAAAGAGAAGAATTAATGGGCATCAATAATTTACACAGATGTTCAAAAATTTCTGGTTTAAGTTCAGCTAACATAGATTGAATAAGGCCAACATTCAATTTATTTAAGTTAAAGTGGCGCATGAATTCTTCCCTTTCCTATAAGGGTTACAATATATATCAAATGTGGTGCTGGAGAAGGATGGAGAAAATTAACTGGAGGGATCGAATTAGCAATGAGGAGGTCCTGCTTAGGGTTAAGGACAAATTATTAGAACTATTGAGGACAGACGGGGAAAAATGTCGGGACACTTGATACGACACGACGAACTTATGAACATTATAATAGAAGGTAAGATAGAAGGAAGAAGGGGGAGAGCGAGACCGAGACATAGTTACATCAGGCAGATCAAGGAAGAAGTTGGTGTCGTGTCGTATCA